AGCCACCCCAGCCGAGCCTGATCTCCCACAGCTCCCAGTCCCACTGTACCAGCAGGCACTGGGCCAGGTATGTGGCAGCCAGGCAATTCCCACTTTAAGGCAACCCCAGCCTGTCAAAACCAGGGCGGGCAGAGGGCTTCCCTCCTTCCCCCTCTCTTCTTTCTCCCCATCACCTACTTTTTTCCGGCAGGCTCTCAATGGGGGGCGAGTGCCCCCCCTCCTCCACGTCCCCATAGTGCAGCACCTTGCGGTTGGGAGACAGGCGGCAGTACCAGAGCTTGTCTGCAGCAGAAGGGCCATCGGGAAGTGCTCAGCTTCTCCTTGCTGAGGTCCCCTTCCCCGGTGGCAGGGGATGTGAGGCCAAACCTCTGCCTCCCTCCCGGGACACCCATGGGCTGGCACTCACCATGCGGCTGCTGATCTTGCGGAAGAGGGTACCCTCGCAGAGGTGCAGCAGGCGCTGCTGTCGGATCAACTCCAGGAGCTCCGGCTTCAGCCTCTCACGCAACTCCCTGGGGCAAGAGCCAGAAGAGGAGCATGGCCCCCTCACCAGGTGCTCACTGATGGCCCCCCAGCCCGATGGTGTCCCCCCCACAGCCCCCCATCGCAGCTCCGGCTCCCTGCCCACAGCCCACTCACAGCACGGGCACAGCCAGCGTCTCCTCCTGGTGCAGCCGCTCCGTCTGCCGCAGCTTCAGGATCTCGCTGTAGTTCAGCGTGTTCACTCGGGTCTTGAATAACTCCAGGGAGGTGGGCTTGAGGGCCAGGGTCCTGGTGATCTGCTCCCGCACCACCTGCAGCACCTGCGGGACCCGGGATGTCACCCCCAGTCTGGTGAGGCTCCCCAGAGACCCTGAATTCATCCCATCCACAGCCCCAGCATCCCCTCACACCTTGTCAAAGTCCTCCTGGGTAGCACGCATCTCCTTCCAGGTCTTGTTCACCAGCTGGATGCAGATGCAGAAGAGCTCTTCAAAGAAATGATCCTGCCCGAAGAACATAGGGTAAAAGGCCTGAGCCGTCTCCGAGCCTGCGGTGAGAAGGATAGAGGATGCCAGACTCTCCAGTTTTTCCAGGGCCTTTCAGTATCCAGGAGAATCCAGACATTTCCCAGCCTCTCCTTGCCCTGCTATTGGCCACACCAAAGCCTGGTGGCCCCATGTATGCAGTCCCCTCCCCTGGCAGCTTGTCCCCAACTCCCAGCAGACAGCAGGGCAGGAAGGAGGACACACTGGGTCACACACGTACATGGCTCTCCAACGTGCAGGATCTCGCAGAGGATCAGGGTGAGCTGGATGCTGCTCCGAGCAAAGGGACATTCATGTTTGTCTTCTCGGCTGCTGTTCTCAAGGATGAACTGGAGGAGAGGGTTGGTGACTTGTGTTACACAGACCACAGCCTCTCAGGGTGAGCTGTGTCCCCGAGTTGAGCCATCCCTAACAGAGGTAGTTAGCTCTCCCCAAAAAATGGCCCCCAGGTCCCTCCTTCCCCTGCTACATGGCAGAAGCTGATCACAGGCACAGCAGGTCAGAGCAGGGCTGATGCTCTGCAGCCACTGGCTGGTTTTGCCCAAATTGCCTTGGTTCACTCAGACGTGAACAAGGCCTGGAAACCGAGCTGTGGGCAAAACACTAAAAATCATAGGGACCCTTCGGTGCCACCGGCCTCAAATGGCTGCTCCTACCCACAGGGAGGACTTGGCTCCATCTGAAACAGGACACCTGCCCAAAAGGGACATCTTTGCCTGGGTTTGGCCAAGGATGGGTCACAAGGGAAGGAAAAGAAGGTGGAGATCCACCAGCACCTCTGTGCCAAGGGTTTTTCTGTGGAAAGCACACGCACCCTGCTGTAGGCGTTGGGGGTGTGCCTGGAGAAATACACCATGTTGTCGAGGGCGAGGAGGCCCGGTGGGGCACGGCGGAGATCCTCTGCTGGGTTGCTGTTGTTCTAGGAGGACACAGAAGGATGTGGTTTAGCAACTGCTGCTTTCTCCTCCGAGCAGCAGAGTCCTCCTGACGCAGCCATGGGGTTTGCCTTTAGAGTTCTGGCAGCTCCACAGCACTCCCTGCTCAGCAGTGCCGAGGGAGAAGAAGGGACGTGCTGCCTGGTGACCCATCAGCATCCCAGGGACACCAGGCTTAGGGGAACATCAGAAGGTGCCACCGAGGCCGGGTGGCAGAGCCAGCATGGGGCTGTGGAGGGGATGGAGCAGGGAAGTACCATGAAGCCCAGCTTGCGGAACTCCTTGGCACACAGGGATCTCCTGCGCTCAGTGCTGAAGTTGCTGGCAGGCGTCTCGCTCTCCGACTCAAAGGCGGTTTGGCGCAGTGACTGCAGGAGCTCCCGCTGCTCCTGGAGGGAGAGCAGAGAGGAGGGGATGTTGGTGAGCCCCATGCAAACAGGTTCTCCCAGGACAAATAGGCAATGAAATAAAATGTGCCGGGTTCACCCAAAGGCAAAGCTTCACCTGCCTCTACCTCCACGGGTGGAAGAGAGCAGGGCCAGACTCGCAAGGAGAGCACTCCCAGACCTGCGAGTAGGGATCCATGGAGGTCCTCATGCGACGCTCACACAGGTTGAGGCTGACAGACTGCAGCACGTAGAGGTAATGGGCCATCTCGTCCCCCAGCGGCTCAGAGCTGTGGATGATGTTCTACAGGAGACCATGAGTGAGAAGGTTCCCCCAGGCTGCTGCTCCTCGTTCCTCCAGGCCCAGGGCCCAACAACCAAAGCCCAGCAGGTCCTGCTGCTCGAAAGGGCGTGGGAAAGTGGGCAGCTTCCCTCGGGGCTCTGTGAGAGCTGGGTGCACTGAACAGCAGGCAGTCAGGGGTGCAACCCTGGGGAGGTGGGTGTCAGCACAGCACCACCCACAGAAGGCATCAAGAAAGGGGTGTGGGGCATGCAGGCAACCCAGCCAGGCATGGTCATCAAAGGCTGGTGCTGAGGGGACAGGGGATAAAGGACAAAGGATCCCTGGCAGTGTTCAAGGCCAGGCTGGGGCTTTGAGCAGCCTGGCCTGGTGAGTGGTGTCTCTGCCCATGGCAGGGGATTGGATCAGATGATCTTTCAACCCAAACCATTCTGTGATTCTGTGAAACACAGAGCAGCCCCTTGCACGACCCCAGCTCCTCACCTTGTGGATAAACTGCCTGATGTTCTTCTCCCTCAGGCGGTCCATCATGTCCTAGGGAGGGAAGAGGCTGTGAGATGTTCCCCAGCTCAGCACACGCTGACTTTAAACATCTCCAGACACCTCTGACAGCCCCACCATCCCAGAAAGCACAAACACTACAGTGGAGGACCCAGCTGACCCATCATGGGAGGTCCAGATGTGCCAGGTGCTGGGTCTGGGCCATCGCGGTCACTGTGCCACCACCAGCCGTGATATTTCTCCTGTTATTTGAGATCTTGCATCTCCCCAGAATTACTCCAAGGGCTGTGAGACAGCAGAGGCCTCTTAACACAGCACCCCCATGACAAGGGAACTGTGGTGTTTGGATCTGTGATGGCCACCACCCTGCCATCGCCTGGTCCTGCCTACTGTCCCTTACCCGCCGCTCAGCATCAGTCGCGGCCAGCAGCAGCGCAATGAGCAGGGCCATGGCCTTCAGCTGCAGCTGGGCATTTGTCCTGCAGAAGGAGGATGAGGATGAGGAGGGTGACCAGCTCTGAGGATGGTTTGCCCTCCCCAAGGCAGCCCTCTCCCCAATTCACAGAGCTGGGGGCCCAGAGAGGGCAGAGCCACGAGTGAGCAGCCATGGGTGGATGCTCCCCACAGCCATGACTGCAGAGCAACCACAGATGGATCAGATATTGCTCTGCACACACCCATGGGTGCAGCATTTGGAGGTGCAGGCAAACAGGGTAAGCACCAGGCTCCTGTCTGGCAGGAGCCCTCGGCTTGAGCCTTTAAGAAAGAAAAACCTCCAAACTGAAGAGATGCAGAGGTGTGAGGAAAAGGAGGGAACAAAGAACCCACCCTAGGTGAGGGATTTAACAAACTCTCTCCAGTACAGCACCACCACCTCCAAAAGCAGGGAATAGACTCTTAAATACACCAGGGAAAGGGAAGGAAGAGCCACCACCAGCAAAACAGCTGGTCAGCTAAAGACCCAAAACATCTGAATGAAACAGGCCATGAATGAAGGACGGGATGGTTTCCAGGACAGCCCATGCCTCCCCCAGCAGCAGGGACAGGACACGCTGATCTCCCACAGGTTGTTTAAGGGACAACACAAGGTTGTGCCAGGGATAATCACCAAGACCTGGAGAAATCACCTCCACCACCTCATCCCCGCCAGCCTTGGGATGGGGGCGAATGGTGCCCAGGCCCCTCCACTTACACCTGCAGGTGGGTGAGAAGTCGATCCAGTGTCACTTCTTTTTTGACCAGCTCAAAGAGGAGGCGACTGGTGGGTACCATGTTCTCCAGGATGGACAAGGAGAGCTGCTGCACAGACGCGTCCACTGCGTTCATATTGACATAACTCATGATCTACGACACAAACCCACCCATGGATGGCAGGCTGAGCCTGGGTGACAAAGACAGCAAGAAATCCCAAGGGCTTCGGAGCCTGCAGAAGGCGTTTACCTTCTTGATGAAGGCTGCACTAAGAGTCTCCCAGGAGACAAAATCGTGCTCCATCAGCTCCATGAAGGCCTTCAGGGTGTGAGCGAGCATCTCCCCTGTGCTGAGGGACAGATGAGCAAATGCAGTGAGGATGGGTGCAGATACCCCCCGTCAGCACCATAAGGCTGTGCTACGGTCACACATCAGTGGGCACATTAGAACCAACCAGCGAAGCAGAGGGCAGAAGAAAGGAGAGGCTGTTGGGTAAGAAATTGGACTCTGGCTTAGTCATCCCAGGAAGTCGAGGCAGGGGAAGTTCAACAGTTTATGGAAAGCTGCATTACCACAGTACAAAGATCACTGCAGACAAGCCCTTGGGAACGCCAAGCCACCCCAAATCCCTCTCCCTGCGTCCAAGAAACGCTGTGCTCTGGTTTTAGGCTCCACATCCTCTGTTCAATAGGAGCTCAGAGGAGATGCACCATCACATCCTGGAAGAGTTGGGCAGGCACTAATTTGGCAGCCAGGGTTTTCTCGAGCTGCCTGCAGACCTCTCACAGCTAAAACCTCAGGGCAGAGGTGTTACTCAGGGTGGCAGGAATGACCCAGCCAGCAAAGGGGTAGGAGGTTCAAGCCTGGGCACATTTACAAGGAGTCAGGACCACAGACCCCTGGGGACCTTCACCCAACTGCCAGTATGCAGGGACACAGCCATGTACCTGCAGGTGAGGAGCCTGCAGAGCCAAGCGCCCTGCAGCCAGCGCTGCCCTTCACTGCAGCACAGGGACCAACAAGCCAGGAACACAGAGTCCACTCCAAGGCCCAGCCTGGAGCTCATGCAGCAATAGCAAGGGAGAAGAAAAGTGAAGTCCTCTCCTGATACTCACGCGTTCCCTTCTTCCACAATAGTGAAAATCTTTTTCAAGCCATTCCTGTTGATGAACTCCTGAGCAAAGGTAACATCCTGGGAGAGGCTGGCGAGCTTCTTCAGCGAGTCAGTCTTCACATCCGAGTTGTTGCTCTGGATCCCACTGTACAACCTCTCTGCTTCTTGGTCCTACCAGGAAGGAAAGAATCAAGCCAAAGGGGCTCATCGAAAGACAGCGAGAAGCTTGGCAGTAGAGGCTGGAAGAGCTTAAGCACAGGTCTTGGAAGGAGGCTCAGGCAAGAGTAGCCCTGATGAGGAGCTGGCCCAAGAGACAGAGCCACCAGAGCAGAGAACAGGACCAGCTGAGGAAGGAGGTCAAGCTGACGTGACACTAAGAACACTTGAGGAGTTGGCCCATGTGTCCAAAGCATCCTAAGATGATTTAGTTTCTCTTCAAACTCCCCCAAGCTCTGACGAGGGAGAATGAAGGTTGAGACAGGTCTTCTGGGTCTGAGGCACCGAGAGGAGCCATCACGAGCCAGAGGTCACCAAGTGAGGCAGCGGCAGAGGGCTTGGAGCACCGCATCGCCCCATCGCAGAGGGACATCCCAACAGAGCACACCCAAAGCATCCTAAGATGATTTAGTTTCTCTTCAAACTCCCCCAAGCTCTGACGAGGGAGAATGAAGGTTGAGACAGGTCTTCTGGGTCTGAGGCACCGAGAGGAGCCATCACGAGCCAGAGGTCACCAAGCGAGGCAGCGGCAGAGGGCTTGGAGCACCGCATCGCCCCATCGCAGAGGGACATCCCAACAGAGCACACAGCGGAGGAGATGAGGGGCAGAGGGATGTACCGGGGAGGTGGTCAGCCGTAAAATGCTCCCGTTCTTAATCTCCCCACGGTTCTGTAAGGAAAAAGGAACCGGTGAGGGGACGAGCACCGTGCTGGTGGGGCCAGGAGAGGGTGGGGGGGTGTCTCACCGACTCAGTGATGTAGGTCTGCCGCCCGTCCGCATACTGCAGGGCGTAGCGCTCGGCATTGGGCAGGCTCCACCTGTGGTGACAGGCGGCCGGTCACAGCACTTTATGGCTAGTGGCGGTTGT